TCCCTCTTTCATAAACCGTTTTTTCCTCAGACCTCTGTACATTTTTTTAATAAATCATAACATGAAAAACGCAGGAAAACGCGTGACAAGATCACCCGTGAACATTCCAATGCAACCATATGAGATTCGACTTACGTATCCATTCTGGCTATATTCCGAATTCAACTGGTCAGTACTGTCAGTAAATCCACTGACTGTGCTGAAAATCTGTGTTCCGAAATATAAAATCAAAAATACACGTTTTCATTCTTTTCATCAGTAGTCAGCAGCAGTTGATCAGCTGGTGAAATTTATCAGTCTGAGTTTCTCGTTTATCTGAACTAGATAAGTTAGCCTCCTGCTTGACATAAATTTTGAAAATTCAATATTTAACATGAAAGAGTTCTTGTAGCCTTCATAGTTTCTTCGACTGTTGACGATGACGATTCAAGCTCCAGTGATGAAGAATACTTGGACATTTATGTAATATGGCATTAATAATGATTCATTCAGGAGACATTTCAGGTTTATTTAGATATTAATTCACCCAATGCTGCTTCTTCTTTGGTAACCTCTTCTACTTCATACTCCATATTATTCAGCGTTTATCATGTCAATAGGTGGTATTTTCTGATATTGAAAATAATATAATTAACAACAGAAATGAATGTTACATTCCTTCCCCCTCTAAAATAATGACAGTTTACTGAAGCCACACTACCTTTTGATGGTCAGCAATTTCAGCAGAATGTTGAGTCGAAATATTTGGAATGAATAGTATATCTGCTCACAAGCATCTGTCACATTCAGTGATTTTTTTGATTTCGGAATGAAAAATCAGCAGATTCAGTACTGTCAGTTGAATTCGGAATATAGCCTCTCTATTCGCGGTCGTCAAGGTCATTAGGTGACGTTGCGATGACATTAAACACTACGGGAAAACATGCCCAACTTTCAATCTATGCCTGGAGGCGATTTTACTAAATATACTGTACGCTAGCACATACCACGCCCACCGTTATATCTCATCTTAAAAGTACTTTACTTAGGGAAAACTCAGAGACTATTTATCCTCAACGAACTAACCTATCCCTGATTGCAATATTTTTGAGGAAGGAAAACCGAATGGAGTGTAGAAACACATTCATTAATAATATATTTCAAAAGTTGAGTTCTTCAACAAAATTGAATAAAATGAGACTGTTTATCCTAAACGCACTAACCTATTTGACTTCAAATATTTTATGAAAAAGGAAAACCAGAATGAAGTAAAAAAACATTGGTAAAAAAAAAGTTGCAAAAGAAAGTTCAAGTTCACAGCGATTCGAACCATGGACCTTCAGACTGAAAGTCGACATCGCTAACCAGTAGACCATATGGGTGTATGAATTTACTGCGTAAAAGAGACTGACAACGAGAGAGCTTCAGTCGAATTCGTGTCAAAATCATTTAAAGGTGTATTCTTGCGTTGGAGCACAGTATATTTAGTGCGATGTGCTGACTCCGAGTATATCGGTAATGTTTGGAGATATGACGTATTATGGTGGGCGTGGTTTGTGCTAGCGTGCAGTATATTTAGTAAAATCGCTGCCTGGAGTTGTCAATGTCATCGCATCGTCAGATGATGACCTTGGGTACCGCGAATAAACAAATTTCAATCTATGCCTGGAGTTGTCAATGTCATCGCAACGTCAGATGATGACCTTGGGTACCGCGAATAAACAAGGAAGAAATATCTGTGCTGTGGGCAATGAACTCAATATAAACAACTATATTGAGTTCATATAAACAACTATATTGAGTTCATTGGCTGTGGGTGACGTCACTTGACCTCGATTTTCATAGATTCGCTGTTACCAGGGTCACAAGATAGTTTGGGTTTAAATAAAATCTCGATCAAGGAATACAAGGATATTCTTATTGGCAGTGAAGCATCTTGCCAGATATACAGGGTGTTCTTCAAGGGGCGATTATCAGGATGATTCTAAGATGAAAAAGTTCAAATAAACATAGGTCTTGAATTGCTTCGTTTTCAAGATACAGGGTGTTGATGTTGGAAGTATCGATTGTTGTTTTTCATGATTACCCTGTGTAAGCTTTCATAATGGCAAAATTGAGTCTGGTTAGTGACTAAATAAGACTCTAATTCTAGAATAATACTCATTGAGGTTATTGGGTAATCCCAATGGATGTTTTGAGGGCACCTACATTTTAGAATCAAATCAAATTTTCATTATTTCCTCAGAAACTAAGTGATATAGAAAAATTCAATAGGGGACAAGAAAGTTGTATTTTCGATTGTTTAATCTGATAAAAATATCTAAATGGAAGAAACTATGACATAGGTACCTTATTTACCATAAGTATCCAAAAGGTACCACACTGCGATGCCACTGGAATCATTATTTCGAATCTGATCTCACCAAAAGAAGCTTCTGGATACTGTTAACAAAATCACCAAGTTTCATTGACATTGAAAAACAGAATTTTGGTAATCAATAAAAAAACGATTTTTTATTGAAATTTTGACACTGTATCTTGAAAACGAAATTTCTGGACCTATGTTTACATGAAATTTTCGTCTTAGAATCGACCAAATAATCACCCCTTCAAGTTTGGCCACATACCTAAATGATACTCTGTATAAGTATTTAACTAGTGATTATAAGGGGCCAGGTAGAACCATTGTCTTCTGTGAATATGAATACTATTGTCATTGGTCATATTGAATCTCATAAGGTAATTACTAGTTATAAATTTGGTAGCATCGGAATATGTGGTTATGCTCGCATTGGAAGGCGTATGACGTCATCGAGAGCTGGCGTTTTTCGAAGATACATTAAATACTATTTAGGCACGACCAGGCGTAAAGTAGCACTTTATCGCCCGGTTTTGCGGGCAAGAAGTGGCACTTTACCGCCCGGCGTATAGGTACCTCGTAATATTGGGATTCCTGTACATATCAGGACATTTATGTTTTAGTTATGATGTTTCCTCTGTTCTTTATCTAATATTACAGTTCTCCTGATATTTTTGAGATGCATAATGATATGATTGAACACAAAATAAGTTATTCGTAATGACATTAATTGAGAGCAAATATAATAGTCTATGGCTAATTCAAAAAACTGACTGAGTTACCATGGTAATGTTGATTCTATCAATGATATTCCTCACTGCAGCAGATACATTTCTATCGTTCTTGAGAGGTGAAGAGGTTTGCACAATGAAAAATCGAATATACCGGTCGTGCATTAAATGTTGTATGTATTTCGGGCGTAACTTTTGCTTTTATGGACCTAGGCGCACTTACACGCTGTGGCTCATAAAAGACTATTTTACGCCCTTGATACATAAATAACTATTGTACTCGGAATTATCAATATAAAATAGGTATGTGGCGTAAATTCGACTGGAATGTACAACCCCATTGTGTTCGAAGAAGTGGAGTAGCTGAATGTCGGTTTCACATATGGTTTTCAACCGGTTACTAAAGTTGCCTGATGACTCCGGTCAATTTTCATATGGAACAAAATATTTAAAAGAATGAAAACAAAAGTTTCCTATCACAATTTGATACATTTCTACGCTGGGTGAAAATTTCGAGAAAATTAAATACATGATACCTCGAGAAAGTATGGCGAAAAAACTGTTAAAAATGTCCGAAGTTGCCTCATTTGATGGTATGAAGGTACCTCAATTTCAAATCATAAAATAAAATTTAGGCCAATAGGGAAGTTTCCAATATTGAGGTTATTATCTCACTGTGAATAAATTTGTAAAAATTCAATATAAACGTTTTTTTTTTCTTTTTTCGTGAGATGAAAGTAAAAAGAACTTGACTCCTTTACCATTCCTATGACGTTGTACTTTATGAAAAGCCACATTCACAGAGAAATAAAATACGATTCTCTGTGTCAGTACGTCGTTACTGGCATCATCAATATGTCTAGGATTCCCAAAATTGTTCTTTGAATACATTATTCGAATAAAAGCAAAATTTTCGATTCAAACAAAGTCACTTTTGATCCGAATGAAACATACTATTTTTTTGCAACCGAAACAATCAACTCAAATAAAATTTATTTGAGTTGATTGTTACACATTTAATGTGTGAAGTAACCACCAATGACGTGCAATATGTATGCAATGCAACAAATCAAAATCAATGCAAAATCTTCTACCTGCATTAACAGGAGGTTTATTCAATTTTCAAGGATGTTCGAATTGTAGTTTCAATATAAAAACAACCACAGAGTGATATATTCGTGTATGGACCAGGTGCTCTAATGGCAAATACCGCGCCAGAGCCAGGTGAAGGAAAAAGACGTGGAAAATGTTAGGTTAGTGAGCATATCAACAATAATAATACCGATTATTTATTCCTCTCCATACTACACTGTGTTTTGACTTGTTTGTTTGAGACAAAACACTATTGCTTGCCGTGATTATTCTAAAACAAGTTATCCATCCCGAGAATAACGAATGAAATACAGCAACAAGCAAGTATGTGAATCTTGAAGGCTTCCCTGATCAAAACAAAAATTCTTAACTGAGATGTGTATAATTCCTATACTTAACTATTATAAGGTGTTTTATATCTCCAGCATGGGTATGAAATGCCAAATCTGTCGAAATCGGAAACAAATCAGGTATGCGTCCCAACCCAAATAACCAACCGTAACAACGTTGTTTATTCTTGATGATGTCTAGTACATCATTTTCAGTTCCTAAGAGCTAAAGTTCAACTTTAGTTCTTAGGAACTCAAGTTCAACTTTGCCTAGCAACATACCTATTTTTGTGTCAGTAATAGAAACGTCAATTCAAGAGCTAATTTTGGTATCAAAATGGACGACTTTTGTGTCGGTTGCAGAAAAATTGATTTATTTTGAGAATAATAACGACTTTCGCTATTCTGTACAGCGTGGACATGAGACTGAGGAGTTCTGTTGAATTTCATGAAAATCCATCTGAAGGAAACTCCCCCATTGATAAGGAATAGGGTTTCGCCTCAACTTACGGTAGACCTTGGTCAAATTCGCCAGCGCCCAAACGGCCCACTGCTGGCACTCGGGCGTATGGTAGACCTGCACCAGGTGCAAGATCGGCTCGAACGATCTGTAGTTGATGTTGCGCTGCGAGTCGAGGTCCCATCTGTCGATGGCCGACACCATCTTGCCCAAGACGAAGCCCCTGGAGGGGGCGACGACGGTCCACGAGTCCGCTCCGTCTGAAGCGATGTGAGATATGACGCCTGCCGCGTTATAACTCACTTCTATAATAAAAAGGATAATGATAAAGATAATATTGATTATTTTCTTCGTATGATTTTAAACCACCAATCAGAACGTTCACTTTTTTCCCTATACTTTATTTATTTATTCATTTATTTATTGAACAAATAACTTCCAGACAGAATAGGCTCTGGTATAAGGAAGTACATAATTACATACCTATAGGAACGCACGATGTTCTTTGAACATTATAGGGATTCCCTTTCGTGCGCTCCAAGCGATAAAAAAAAAATGAAAAAAAAAAACTATAAATTGGCAAACAAAGAATAATATTTGTAAAAAAAATGGCATGATCAATTTTATCCAGTTTGCTCAGAAATAATCAGTTTTTTTACTTCATTTTTGAATGTAACTATATTTCTGCGATTTATTATATTGACAGGTAGTTTATTGAATTCAGTTAAGGCTGAATGAGTGAATCTTTTTTGCCGATTATGGAGCTAGCGGCGTCAAGATGAAACAAGTTATATTGTCTAGTTTCATGATTATGAATTTCAGAATTCCGTGTCAAAATAATATTCGACTTCAATTTTTTATTTATGATATTATATGATATTTTAAGAGTTCCAATTCTATATATTTCTTCTAAAGAATACGTATTTGTTATTTCATACAATTGATTGGTTGGTGTATCAAATGGGAGACGATACAATACTTTTAACGATTTTCTATATAATGTTGATATTTTATTGAAATTATTTTTTGAACAAGATACCCAAACATTTATCAAATAGTTGATACGACTCATTATATGAGAGAAGAGAATCATGTTTGCAATTTTGATATCAAGTTTGGGACATCTTCTCAATGCACCAATAATTGGTAATATTTTTTTTTGTCAGAACATCAATATGTTTGTCCCACTTCAACCTGTCATCAAACCAAATACCAAGATATTTTATCTGGTCAGTTTGTTTTAAGAGTTCATTTTTTATTTTGAGGTTGAGGTAAATTTTTTGTTTATTTTTTGGTGAAAAATCATATATTCTGTTTTGTTAGTATTTATCGATAAAAGGTTAGAGTGGAGCCATTTTTCAAATATTTTCAAGTCTTCATTTATCATATTTTCTAAATTTGAAGGATTCTTGCCTTCATATAAAAGTACTGTATCATCTGCATACATGGTATATTTACTCGTGAGACCAATTTCACTGATATTTTGAACATAAAGTAAATATAGTATAGGTCCTAAAACAAAGCCTTGTGGGACACCCTTATTGATCAATAGTTTATTTGACATAGAGTTGGTTGATTTTGTATTGATTGTCCTATTTTCATGATATGAATTCAAAATATTTCTCACAGTGCCTCTGAGTCTCATTGTTTCTAAGTTTTCTAAAAGTGTTGTATGATCAATTGAGTAAAGATACCTGGCATAATTTCGAATATACGTGGATTTAGAATTATTTCCATAGTACCCAATTCATATTGTAACATACAAACAAAGCGCGTCTTGAAATATTGGCGTTCGTTCAGAAATACTCAAAAAATAATCGCATCGAATACAATTTGAACTGCAGACTATTCATGGTTATACATCTCAAACATCTAGAGTTCCAAAATGTACTTGACACTGCTGTTTTGACGTTTTTTGTATATCAGAGTACGGACACTAGACAAGCAGTAACAATCAAACATAACCACAAACGATTTTGAATCAAATCATATGTTTTGCCAGACAAGGACAAGAATATGTTTTTCGCTTAGATAAAGGATCCCCGTATCTTCTATCCTCCACAAGTCCTGGGAAGAGTACAGTTGTAATAAAAAAAGCGTACAAGTATATTAGAGAGAGAAATTAAGTTCTCATAGGTTCTCAAAAACGCAAAGCATTGGCTGAGCCAGTTTCACACAACTAAAACTAGGATTAAGTGAACCTCTCTTTTTAATACTTGTTCGCTTTTTTATTGAATACGACTGTACATCCATATCTCTTTCTCTGTCTTTGATTTTTTGTATGAGAGTCCATAGCATCTCCTCGAGTGGGTAAAAGGTTATGACAAATTGATTAAGACATTATTTCTTCTAGAAATATTGAATGATAAGGCTGAAGGACCACAATGGAGGTCGATATCAAGTTGGTATGTACATATATACCAACGAAATTAATATACTATTTCTATGAAATAAGTCTCAGTTGAATATTTTTTATCACAAAAGTTCAGAATGGGGTAAATTTCAAGCAATGAAACATACTTTTTATTTCGTGTGTAACAATTTCACTTGTACAATAGTGGTAAGTAATTAATAAATGAACAAATGATATGGCAACAATAACAGCTTTCAGTTAGGATAAATAATAAAGGTTCTCCAAGACATACAATAGTAGGTATAAATGGACTCCAGAGTTCGACTCACTATATATCGCCGTTCACAGTGCTAAACAGGATTGGTGGTTTGAACCCGGCCATCGGAAGATCATTTTCAATACCTAACAAAAATGGTACACTCGTTAAGCGTTCTTGTTCTGTGCTCTGATAATATCTTGCTCATATCTTCGTATCCAAGATGTGGTTCAAAATCCACTAGGAGCTATGTAGTCGTCTAGCACTTCTCAACTACGCATGAACATGCACATTCAGACTTGTATCTAAATGTTTTTGCTTCAACTCATTCTCCAACGCTGTATTTTTTTCTTTTATTTGTTTCCTGAATTCCTCACTCTCTTCCACTCGTAAACCTTGGATTTTTGAATATTCCTGCTCTAAAAATTCGATTCTCAAGTGTTTTTCTTTCAAAATATGTTCGAAATGAATTTAATTATCTGCAAGTTTTTCGTTTCTTGTTGGTTCTAGATTGGAATAAGGTTCTTCTCGATACTCGCTCAGTTTATAAATTGTGGGTTCGGCTCTTTCTCTCAATACGATTCTATTCTTCAACATTAAATCTTACGTTCTGAAGTGTACCTGATGATAAAAATGCGTTGAAAAATGTTCTATATCCTACCAAGAAATTTGAATACCTCGCAAATTTTGTGGCCTGAACCTATATTCCTGCATCATATTCTGTTTCCATTTTTGTAGAATTATGTTATCCGATGGAAATTCGAATAGAGTGAATTGATTTCCCGTGTTCTCATAGTTGGAAACTGCACAAACTTGCATCTTTCTCCTAATTCTCGCAATTAATCAAACCTTTGAAATTTATGTCATGTACGTTCGTGTTATGTCAGCTCCCACTTTTTCCATCAATTTATTTGTGGTTATGTCTGATTGTCAGTGCTTGTCATAGTGTCCGTACTCTGATATACAAAAAACGTCAAAACAGCAGTGTAAAGTACATTTAGGAACTCTACAAACATCAAGTATAATTACAAATCGTGTCAGTTTAACAGAATTATTTCAACTGCCAAACTGACACTCTTGGTAATTATGGAACGAGTTATCGATATTTAACACGAATATTTTGAAGTACTTATAGTATTACTACTGATTATTTTCTTCCTGTGATTTTGAAACAATCAGAACGTTCAATTGAGTTAAACTACCTTGTATAATTTTGAATATACGTGGATATACATAGAGTAACTCCACCAATCAGAATTATTTCCATTTCCATAGTAACCAATTCATATTGTTACATACAAACGAAGCGCATCGTGAAATTTTGACGTTCGTTCAGAATTACTCAAAAAATAATCGCATGGAATACAATTCGAACTTCAAAATATTCAAGGTAATACATCTCAAACTTCCTGCGCAATTTCAAATCGTGCCAGTTTAACAGAATAATCCCCCCGCTTCGCGGTCGGATTATTTCATCTGTTAAACTGACACTCTTTGTTTTTATGTAACAAGCTATCGATGTATAAACCAAATATTTTGAATTACTTATTAGAGGAGTAAAATCGGGGATAAAATGTGTCGTTTTTTTTTTTCGAGGTATAACCAAATCGGACCTATTAGATAATGTTCCTTATGTGATTTTCCATCATAGTCCAGCTAGACGACATTTTTCTGTGGGGACGAACTTTTTTATTCAGTAAAATACGAAAAAAGTTGGATATTCGAAAATCGTGTTTTTCTAAACATATTATTCAATATTTCGAGAACTACTCGAGATATTGATTTGCTTTTTCGTTTGATCGAAAGAAGATAATCTAGCGCTTCTCATCATGCCAATAGAATGATGTAATGAAATCGGGTTTTTTTCTGAATAAGTTGAGAATATGAAATAGTGAAAACCGTGAGATGAAATTTTCACTGATCGAAAAACTTTTTTATTATTCGAATTCTTTATATACAATCAGCGAAGGAAATTGAGATAATGAGTCGAAAAAGTTTTTAGATTAAAAAAATTCGATACATATGAAATAGTTTTGAAGGTATGATTTTTTAAAAACATGCTAATTCCGCGCCTCCGGTAACTGTTCGCGCTCAGCGCAATACCAGTGCCTACTCCCAATACCCGCTCCATCAGTGCTATGTGCTATGTAAGCTCTCTACTGTGGTTATGTTGAGAAATTGTTCTTATGATGGTTTCAAGGTCAATGATGCAAGTATAGAGGAAAATAATACTGCATTCATATTTTTCATAATGGATAATTGGACGATTTCATAAGTTACAAAATATAATCGAGTTTAAACCAAACTATCAAACAAAAAATGATATTCATTTTAGTATTCTTCTTCATTTCCTGATTCTGGCTCAACTGGATCCCTGAATGTATTTTGGCAGTCTCTACATTTACATTCACTAGAACATTTCAACCCTTCTTTCATGCATATACACTTATCATTTGTGCAGTTTTTATCGGCAAAATGAATGGCCAGGATTTTTCTTACAGAATTTGGAATAGGTTCCTGCTTAGTAAAAACAGGCTTCCAACAATCGTTTTCGTGTTTCCAACAAAAATTTTCCGGATTTTCAGTAGGGATATATGGTAAAAGGGATGAATACCATATTTTCAATTGATATATACATCTAGAAATAATTGATTGGAAATGTGTTAGGTATCGGAAATTCTGCCATGTGTTTTTTT